TCACACTGGCACGTAAATTCATAAGCAACGGAACTCTTTTGGGTTGCAGGGACGCAATCCTTTTGAAAGAATGAAAGGGCTCTCTTAGTGCTGTAAATCATACGAAGATCGACTGCAAAGAAACATTTTATATGTTAAACAGGCCATAATAAATATATCTCTTGAGCTGAAAAATTTTGAAATTTCCCGAAAAGTGGGAACCATGTGCGTTATGAAAGTATCATTTTCGACAAAAAACGTAGATCTTAGAATTAGTCCCTGGAAGCTGTTTAATTTAGGAAAATTGTAGATTGTGGTTAAGGCCAAGAGGCCAAAACATGATATGCTTATCATCTTCGGCGCTCTGTTCATTAATTCCTCAATTATCTTAGTCTTTTCAATTTATGATGATTTAGATTTTCAAAAGTTGAGTATATTCCTGTTATATTTTAGTAAGGCTTCAATGGTATTGCATTTCTGCTGTATCAAAAGGCAAGAACTGGCAAGTTGGGTAAGGGAAAAATCACGAGCGGGAAGGTGTTAATACGTGCTAAACCCAATGCTAGGTAAAACGATACACAATTAAGATTTTTTGCAGTAAACTTCAACAGGTAATTTATGACATTTAGGCATTTGGTTGTATCTAGGTTTTTTTAAGCATTTGAAAATTTACCTGCACACGTGACACCATTTCCACTGTAGCCTGTCTGACAGTTGCAGGTGAACGAGCCATCAGTGTTTGTACAATCTGCATTGGTATGACAATTGTGTGTGGAAACTAGGCATTCATTCACATCTATAGGCAAAAAAATTTGTTGAATTGATGTAACTTTGCATGCAAATATTAAATAATGTATCTTCTAGAACAAAAGCAAATGTTGATAAAAATAAGATGCAATTTATTTAAGCTAGAGATAATCAAATAATGTAGAGACAATTCTTAACATAACGTGATCTGTTGCCCATTTGATTGTCATACAAAATGATGTTCTTTTAATATCTCTATCATTATCATCTTACATAACACTATTCAATTACCATTACTGCAAATCATATATTGCAATTATACTTAAATTAACTGGAATAAATTATATTAAGATAACATAAATTTACATAAAGTTGATGCTACTTTTAAAAATGAACTAATAACTGAATTTGATCAACAATATTTTATAGAAAACTCGCATTTCTTATATAGGCCTATATTTAATAGTTTTCGACTGGTTTCGATTCAATGTTATTATACCAAGCCAAAACAACAAACGTTGCTTGGGAATACAAAGATGGTCCTGTTTTTCTTCATTCACTGTGAGCTATAAATTAATATTAAGAGCGTTGACACTAATTTTCAAGAGAAAGTCTGGCAATCACCTCTTCTTTTACAAACGATGTCAGCTTTTTTTATGAAATAAGGTAATGGAATTGAAAATAAGTTTGGTCAACATTGGTTTGTTGGAAGCTGATGATATTTTATAAAAGAATTTAAGAAAAAATAAAAAATGCAACACCAGTTGCTCTGTGTTTCAAGTAACATTTGAAGGAATTGTATATTGTGTTTTGTAGCACTTTTGTCTAAGATTGTAAAAAACTTTAACACAGTATATTTTTGCATAATAATCACGTTTGATATATTTTCTGCGCATAGCATGGGAACTTAAGTATTGAGGTAGATTTACCAATACACGAGCTGATGCCATCTCCACTGTAGCCTGCCCAGCACTCGCAATAGAAAGAGCCCAAGGTATTTTTGCAATATGCTTTTGTATGGCATTGGTGTGCTCCATCAAGGCATTCGTCGATATCTGGAAGTATTTGCAACAAAAAGAAATTTGCAATCTACCAAGCATTGAACAGAGTTAGAGGCTTGAGTTTTCAATAATGTAGCTTTACTCAATATCAGCAGTTTTAATGCCACGTAAAAGATGGAAAACAGGACGCTTTTACTTGAGTATGCTTTTCTACCAACATCTTCAGTGTTTCAAACGTTTGATAATGCAAAAAAAAAACATAGACAGTGGCGGCGCAAGCTATTACAGAGTGGGAGGTTTATGGGCGTGGTAAGCAAAACCACGCCCCTTTTACCTCGTTTCAGTGCTTTGCACCAGGTTAACTTTCTTAATGAAATTTTATCTACCCCTACCCAGCACTTTTTGATCCGATTTTAGAAGAAATAGGTAGACCATTTTTTCAGAAAAGTGAAGGGGTAATTACCCCTCCTACCACCCCTTGGCGCCGCCACTGAACATAGATATATATTGTTTCTTGCAAAGGTATTTTTTGCTTTGAGAAAGAGAATCAAGTGCTTTGATATAAAGAAACACAAAGTTATGACAACATATAATTCATACAAAGTTTACATCAAAAAAACTCTAAAATTCCAGATCAATAAAAAAGGCTGGTTCCTTTCTGTGCAAACGTTGTAGTGGCAACAAATAATTGAAACGTACAAAATTTTAAAAATCTCTAAAATTTCAGGCCAAATTAAAATTGTAGTTGCATTCTTTGCAAGAAGTAATTTTACTGCTTCTTAAACTTTCTGTTTATTAGTAGTAGCAGTTAGAACTAGTTATCTCATTGTGAGACAGCTTTTATTCAATGAAAATGAAAAATAATTGCACACAATAAAAGATTTACTATTTGGTCTAGTGTAGAAAAGCATCGATATTCTCGTCCTTTTGTCATTTTGCAATACAAAATCCAAAAATCAAAATATAGGGTATTTAATGAGATACTTTCAAGTGTTTGGACACAGACGCATTGCTTTCATTTTTACGATCTTCCCAACACCATCAGCAAATAGAAGCAAAAATAGTTAAAGCAGGTGCACCCTCAAAATCTGTGACTTATTATATTCTTCATTTTCTGCTAAACATTTTAGCAAAATACTAAGGCTGTTAAGGAAGACTTCTACATTCAAGTACGTATACCATCTTGTTTTCTACACTTTGTAACATTCAAATGTTGATGTGAATATATATTAATGATTTAGAACTCGTTGATAAGAAGTGAAATATTTTGGTTTCCATCCTGCCATTACCTTGTTCACAATGGATCCCTGTGTAACCTTGAAAACATTGGCAGACGAAATTCCCAATCTGGTTCGAGCATGTACCACCGTTAAAACATGGAAGACTTGCACATTCATCTATATCTGTGGAAATAACTTTTTTTAAATCCAGGACGCCTTTAAAACCAATCTTGACTGAATGAAAGAATACCTAATTTAACTTTACTTGAAATTTTCAAAAGTAGAGAAATACCTGTTACAATATATTTGACTATTTCCTAAATTGTTCTTGGCAATGAAAAGCTTTATAATCAAACACTTTGCAAAGTGAAAAACCAAGCAATTATGAAAAGCTCTAGCCCGCAGGCCAAGGTACACCTCAACCCGATTTAAAATGACCTCATCGAGGTTAAACTGTAATAAAAATAGATACTTGTCTTTTCAGCAAAAGGCCCTTGTTTAGTTTGATACTATATCTTAATACAGATCATATCCAGGGTCTGGGTTAACGAGTGAATCACCCGAAGCCAATGTACACACAGCCTATGAGCTCGCCTGTGTGCATGCAAACGCATATAGCTGTTTTGTTGTCTCGAAATAGATCGGAGCTTTGATAGGAATTTTATAGAATGATCTGAAACTGATGAGGAGGAGTACCAATTACTTGGACTATAGTTTTTCGATCTTCATAAACCAACGAGCCTGGGATTTGGAGGGGCTTTCAGAGGAAGAGCACTGGTAGTTCTTGCAATTATTTGAGGAAAATTGTTGCGAAATTTTTTTTAGCAACAATTTCGTGTCGAATATAATCTACAAAATATGGCCAAATATCTGAAACCAAACAGCTACCTTTCGCACCTAACCTTTAAAGCCTTACAATTAAAGCCTGACGTATGCCCAAGACTAGCGTATGAGCAAGACAATATTTCATACCGCTTTATGGTGATGTATGGTTAGCAAATAACATAAATGTAGCTAATTTATGTTGATAAGGGACTAGTAAACAATTGTGCCAAGGGCTTCACCAAGTCCCATGTTTATGTGTCTACGGCAACTTTGAAGACAGAAACGTATCCGTTAGCAGTCTTATCAAATGGAGTATTGCAATTTATTATAAAAACGATATAAAAACAACCCTTAAGTAATATATATTATCACACAGCAGGTAATATCCTGACAATAATTTTAATCCAACAAACTATTGAGTAAATAAACAAGACTCATACCGATATCACAAATTTTCCCTGTATATCCCTCAAGACACGTGCATTCATAATCCGAACTTTTGTTCAAGCATTGTGAAGCATGTTTACAAGGGTTGCTAGCACAGGCATCCACGTCTAGGAAAATTAAAAAATTATTCTCTTCAGGAATTTCTCTATAATTAGCTTGATAAAATTTAGTCAAAAATCGAATGCTTTGTAAAATGCTTTACCAAAATTTTGAATTTCAAAACGAAACAGATAACTAAATATTACCTAAAAAATCCGTAGTTCTTTGGTAGAAAAATCGGACGGGCTAATGTTTTCAAATTTTCGACTTAATCATCTTCTTCTTGCATTTAACGCATAGGCAAGAACAACAGCTTTATTTCATAAACCTACCTGCCTGCTTTATACACTTGAGCTCAGGATAAAGAGATTGACAATGAATGCACTCATAGAAAGGCGGGCTGCATGTATCCAGACATAAATCTTCCGGATCGCAAGGCTTCAGGCTGTTGCACGTTGGCCCAATCTTAGAAAGTTAAAAAATTGTTATTAGCAAAATATCCCCAAAATTGGCATTGCTATGCTATGCTATGCTATGCTATGCTATGCTATGCTATGCTATGCTATGCTATGCTATGCTATGCTATGCTATGCTATGCTATGCTATGCTATGCTATGCTATGC